GAACGCAAAGCAAAAGCTTACGAGTTGCTTCGCAAGGGAAAAGAAGGAGGAGTAGATGAGGAGGAATTCAGAGGCGGGGTAGTGGATTGGGATTTGAAGCGGATGCGCGATGAAGATCAGGGAAGGAAGGATGAGGATGAGGATGAAGAAGCGGAGGGTGAACGGGATGAGAATTTCGCAAGTGTGGGAGGAAAGGATCCATTGATCGAGTATACGGACGAACTTGGAAGGTCTCGAATGATGAGGCGCAGTCAAGTACCAAGGGACTGGTTGAGGGAGCAAGAAAGAAAGGCTCAAGAGGCCAATGATGATGATGGTCAAAGCTACGATGAGTCAGTCTCGCCTTTCCACCTCGTCTCACAAGGAATTCAGAGCTGACGCTAGACAAGCCCTTTGCCCGGTTGCGCAGCGCGATCTACGCTCCTCAGACAGACTTTCCAGTCTATCAAAGAGACCCTCGAACTCTTCCGGTGAGATCTAGCCGCAATCAGACACATTTCGACGCTTCACACGAAGTGAGGAACAGGGGAGCTGCATTTTACGCGTTTGACAAGGACGAAGATGCGCGTCAGAGGCAGATGAGGGAGTTGCAAGAGGAGCGAAAGAAGACGGAGAGTAGACGAAAAAGCGAAGATGGGGAAGAGGTGCAGTTGGATGAAAAGGGAGGTGTGGGCCGAGGTGTGGATCAGGATGAGCTGAGAAGAGAAAAGAGGAGGAGAGAAGTGGAGCAGAAGAGGAAGGAGTTGGAAGCGAAGAGGAAAAAGATGCTGAGCGATTAGCCCATTGGGCGCAGCGGTTTCTTCTTGCGCTACCACACATTCAGCTCGCTTTCGAGCGCTTCGTGCGTCATGTTGTCTCGCGCGGTGTCGATTTAGCCATGTATGTCAACCATGAGCGCTAGCAATCTGCACGTCCTCTCCGTAACTCTTAGCAGCGCAATACCGCACCCCAACTGCGCAGCTCTCGTGCCTTTTGCTGTTCATTTGACACGAATGCGAAGGTGTACGCTCAGCTATGCTGTGGTGGAGAGTCACAAAGTATCCAACAAAGTGCCAGAATCAGAGTCACTGGGCAGGTATAGAGTCACGAGTCTTGCTGCAATCACAATTAAATAGCGCGGCGAATGGGATGCCTGTGCTGTGCTGTGCTGTGCGGTGCTGCTCTTGCGGCGGCGGTAAGGGCATTAAATATTAAATCCGGTTCATCCGATTCATCCATGCACTATGACTCACTCAGACTCTCGACTCTCGACCAGCGCACGTCGAGCGAGCATCGCAAATGATCGCGACCAGTTGACCGAACAATGCAAGACTGAATCTCCTTTGAACTCATCTCCTTTTACTCGCAAGTTCTGAAGCATCTCTGCTCCGCTCGAAAAGGAGGACACATTTCGCAGGGCAAATGGCGCGCCTACGCCCACAATCGTCAGACTTGACGTCGAATCCAGACGCAAAGCAAGTAGTGCGATCATTGTGGAAAGGTGCTGATCTGCCGCTATCGGTGCTGGAGCAGACGAGCATACACTTCACTGGACCTGTTCATCCCCTTCCCAGCTCTTATCGTATCGGAGTAGCAGCGCAAGTGAGTTTACGCATTCCATCCCATCCCGTCCCATGCCACCGCTATGCTGACTCTCGAGCGTCAACATTCGTGATTGCGATGTACGGATTGATTTGCATAAACGGTTTTGGCATGGATCTGAATCGATTCGTATTCGTACTCGTATTCAAATGCGAGACAGGCTTGCATAGCGGTTGTGGCCCTCGCTGCCAAGCTCTTGCATCATCTTCGAGAGAAGAAGA